AGTTTGCTTTTTTTCTTTTTCTATCTTCAAGTGAAAGCATAGATAATTGATTTTAGACCTTTTTATCTTCTCCAATATAAGCTTTTAAAGCCATACATTTTCCTCTAAGCAGTGCTTTAACTGCATCTCACTAATTTTGATATGTTGGGTTTTCATTCACTTAAAAATATTTCCTAATTTCCCTTGTGATTTCTTCTGTTATCTGTAAGTTAATTAGAAATATGTGGTTTAATTCTCAAGTATTTGGGGGTTTTCCAGGTATCTTTTTTGTTACTGATTTCTAATTTAATTTCATACATAGATTTCTAGTTTAATTTTAAAATCTTTTAGTCAGTTTATTTTATGGCCCAGAATACAGTCTATCTTGTTGAGCGTTCTTTCAAAAAAATTGTACTCTCCTGTAATTGGGTGAAATATTCCATATATGTTCCATATATTTCAATTAGGTAAAGTTGGCTGATAGCATTGTCTTCTAAATACCTATTATTTCTGTCTACTTGTTCTAATAAGGGAGTTTTGAAATCTGTTTATTGTTGTGGATTTGTCAATTTGTCCTTCCAGTTCTATCACTTTTTACTCCATATACTTTGTATATCTGTTATTAGGTCCATATACATTTAAGATTATTAAGTTTTCCTGATAAATCAACTTATTACTAAAAATTCCTCTTTATCCCTTATAATGATTCCTGTCCTGAAATTACCTTTTTCTTATATTAATATAGCAACTTCAGATTTCTTATACATACTGTTTGCATGCTATGTCTTCTGCCCTTTTACTTTTAACTTATTGCTTTCCATATAGTCAAAGCGAGTTTCTTATAAATAGCATCTATTTGGGTCTACCTCTCATCCAGTTTGACAAGCTCAGCCTTTAAAATGAAGTATTTAAAATATTTAAATTGAATGTAACTTTCAATATGTTTTGTTTAAATCAACCATTGTGCTATTTGTTTTGTATTTAGTGCTTCTGGGCTGTGTGTCTTTGAATTTATTTTCCCCTTTTCTGCCTTCTTTCAGATTGAGTATATTTTATGGTTTTATCTCCACTGTTGGCTTATGAGATCCACATTTGGTTTTTATATTTTAGGCTGGCTCTGTAATTTGAATGCATCTTTAACTTAACACAGTCTACCTTCAAATATCATACCACTTCACATATAATGTGAAAACCTTACAGCAGTGTACTTTTAAATGGTCAATGAATTCTCTGTGCTATTGTTGTAAATCATTTTACTTTTACAAGAATTACAAATCCCACAATACAGTGTTGTTAATTTTGCTTTAAACATTAAGTTCCCATTAAAGAACTCTGAAATGAAGGGTGGGAAAGTGTTATATGAGTATACGTCACTTCAAATATTTACTACTTTCAACATGTTTCATTCTCTTGTATACATCCAAATATTATCTGGTATATTGCTTCAGCATGAAGAATATTCTCTAACATTTCTTGTAGTTAAGGCTTTTGGGCAATGACTATGCTCATCTTTAGTTTTTCTGAAAAAGTCTTCATTTTACCTTTATTTGTGAAGTATATTTTTGGTGAATATGGAATTCTAGGTGGATAGTGTTTAATTTCAGCACTTTAAAGATGTACCATTGCCCTTTGGCTTACATTGTTTCTCACAAAATGTCAGTGATGATTCTTATTATTCCCTTTAGAGAATATGTTTCTGTTCTCTGGCTGCTTTTAAGATTTCTCTTTATCACTGATTTTCCACAATTTGATTATGATGCACTTTGAGGTGTAGGGATGCATGCGTGTGTGCGTGTGTGTGTGTGTGTGTGTGTGTGTGTGTGTGTGTTTATATATATGCTGCATGGTGTCCATTTAGCTTCTTGAATTTGCAGTTATTCAAATATGGAACATTCTGGCCATTATTTCTTCAAAATATTTTTGCCCTCTCCCTCTCTGCTCTCCTTCTGAACCTCTCATTATGCTTTGGTGAGACCACTTATTGTTGGCCCGTAGGTTCTGAAGCTGTTTGCTGTTCTCATTCTTCTATCTCTTTGTGCATCATTTCAGATAATTTCTGTTGCTATAGCTTAACATTCATTTATCTTTTTTTCTGCGGTGTCTAAAATAGCATTCATCCATCTAATGAGATTTCCTTTCAGATGTTTTTCACTGCTAAAAACCTTATTTGTTTCTCCTTTATGTCATCCGTTCAACATCTCACTATGCCCAGTTTCCTTTAAAAGCTTAAGCATATTGAGTATATTTATAATGGGTATTTTGACATCCTTGCTTGGTAATTTCATCATCTCTGTCATCTTTGTGTCTATTAATTTTTACTAATTTTTT